AGTACTTATATGCCTAAGTAATATTATATTCTCTTTAATCCTATTAATATTTTTAGTAATTTTATTACATAAAGCTATAGATTCTAAAATCTTTAATCTATTTCATATCTTATTCATGTTCATTTTCAGATAAAATTATAATAATTATAACCTATTCAACTTTTTGGATATAGCTATCCATGAATAATTAATTTTGATTTGAAAAAATATATTTTATAATTATAATCCACACAATTATATCATAACAACAATGTTGAAAGTAGTTACAAATTTCATAAATTAGTATAACTTAACTTCTCAGATAAGTATAACTGAGCTTGATAATTATGCTGAAAAAATATGTAAAGAGATTAAAGATTATAAAGTTTGTGATTACGCTTGAAATAGAATTCAGAAGTTAGAGTTTAACAAAGATCAAATATATGTTTTAATTTCTATTCAGGCTTCTAGAAGATGTGTTACAGAGTGAGATCCAATTAAAAAGCTTGCTCAATATATTAAGAAGAATAAAAATAATCTTGAATCTGAAGAAATAAATATGCTAGTATATAACTTAGCTAAAACAGCTCTTATCATAATAGCCTAATCATCATGTCTTAAATTACTTCAAAAAGAATTACATAATCTTAATATTGATTATCTTACATTAGAAGCAATATATATATCTGATATTACTTAAAAATCAAATAAAGAATAAGTAATAAATCAGGAATTTCATGAAGATGAGAGATTCAATTATTCAGAATTCTTTTATCTGAAAAATATTTAGGAAAGACTTAATAAGTATGATATAACAAAATCTCCCTCTATGTAAAATTTAATTGATATAATAATAATATTATGTATGAGACTGGCAGATATGGGAAATCTCTGTATTAAGTATTATAAAGCAGATACTACTGAATGATATAATTCTAAATATTCTTGATACTGTACTGGATATACCAAAAATAAAAAAGATGAATCTAAACCATTAGTATTTATGAAGAAAGATCCACTACTGACTAGAGAATTACTTATTTGAATTCAAAAAGTAATTCCTAATAAATTTCTATTTTTAATAAGAGATAAAGATGGTGATGTAAACATCTATTCAATTAATAATTTTCTAGCAATTTATAAAATAAGCTCATCGCACTTGAGAAAAATTAATTCTGAACATGCTATTACAATTCATGAAAGTAAGAATGATATCTATTGTAAATATCTCTGTTGATTAGCATTAAGATACAAAATAATTAATATAGCATCAGATTATTATAATGTGATGAATGGTAGATCAATTATTCTAGTAACTAGAGAAAAAAATATTAAGATATCAGATATTATAGATTTATACAATTACTAATCATACTTCTTCACTTTCACTATATCCACAGTAAAATCTTTATCATCAGTAATCACTTTGTAGCTAGAGATTCAGAGTTGAATTCAGATAAAGATGAGGATTCAGATATGGTATTAATTAAAAATTTCTTTTTTCTTTTAGCCTCAGATAGTGTACAATTTTTTCAAGAAATATCAGGATTTACTATCATATTTATAATATTCTGCTAAATCTCAGGTTTCACTATCTTTAGTAATTGGCCAAGAGAGATCCAAATTCTTTTACCCATTACTTGCTTAATAATACCAGATACCACTTTATTAGTAATATTGGGTAAACTTTTATTTATTTCCAAATCCAATTTTTTTGCAATCTCATAAAGGATAATTAGATATTCTAAATCTGAATCACAAACTACTTCTGTATCCCTATTATTGATCAATATTGATAATTTTTTCACTAATTTTATTAGTGATGCGATTTTATTATCATTCTCTTGTAAATTCTGATGAGCCAGTCCAATATTGCTATTAGCTTCAGTCATTATAAATGTGAAATTATTATTTATTAATACAAATTTAAAAATACAGAATTAAATATATTGTTATAATAAAATATCATGATAAGAATTTTATCTTGTAAAATTAACAAAGTACCAGTTAAAACTATACTAGATACCACTGGTAATTGTAATCTTATAGGCAGGGATTTAGTAGATATACTAGGCTTAGAAATTGATATTTTCTATAAAAAAGAAGCAAAACTATTAATCCCTTTTCCATCTGAAAAATTGCTGAATAATTTAGATGCAATAGTATCCTCACATTATGAGATTATAAAAGATAACATAATAATATTAGAAATAGTTCATAAAATAAACCTCTCTTTTCAGTCTAAAGATAATAAATGGAAACAGGTAGAAGTTAATGATATTTTAGTTCTTAATAAACCTGAATTTGTACATGTATTATTATTAGATTCACCATAAATCCAGACAAATATCTCAGAAATGAATTTTTCTAATCATACTTTCATATTGCTTGATAGAACTAATGTATTATTAGATATTTCATGAGAGCTTCCACCACCAAAATAAATATTCATACCAGTAAAAGAATATTATAAGATGGTAAAATATTACATAACAGAATTGGATGTAAATAATAACAAAATATACCTTAAGGAACACTTTTTCTACGGATTATCTCATGATAACCAGTTAGAAGTCAGAAGATATGAAATAGGTCTGTCATTAAATGAGCTAGTAGAGAAGCTAAACAAAATTAAGAATATCCAGAAAACAAATAATATATATGCCTAAATTAAATATCTGAACATTAGTTATTTTTTCAATTAAAAAATATAATATATATAACTTGAGAATGACATAACTATTACAGAGTAATGATATTGCAAAGTATTGAATCTCTGATTCTCTAAAGAGTCTAAATATTTTTGATTTACCAGAATTACTAGAATAGATCTTATATTTTTTAGAAATCAATCAATCTCTCTATCCTACTTTATTTGTTAATTGGCTTTGGTATAAGTGTGATATACTACTACTATGGAGAAGAGTTGAGTTAAAAGGTAATGATATTCATTATGGACATTATTTTCCAGTTGAATATAATTATTGTGAATGATATCAAATGTGATTAGAAAGTTTCATAAAATTAATATGTGAGAAGAAAAAACTAATTTATGCTTTAAAGCTGAAAAACTTAAAAATTTTATATTATCATTCAATTACACACAAATTAATTAGATCTATCGTAAATTATTATCCAAATATAATTTATTTAGATTTTAAAAATAGCGTGAATATTAGTGATAAGATATTAATTAAAATAACTTCTTCATATCTGAATTTAAAATATCTTAATTTATGGAATAATCAAATGATATCTGATAAAGAGTTATATGAGATTACGTAAATATGTAATAAATTAGAATATCTAAATATTTCTTACTGTAGAAGTATTATTGATAAATCATTAATGATAATTGTGGAATTGTGTCATAATTTGAGAGAGTTTTATTTTAATAAAGTGCAATAGATTACTGATAGAACTGTAAGTTGTATTTTAAACTCATGCTTTAATTTACAATACTTAGATATATCAGCTAGTCATGGAAAAATCAAAGATACTAATATATTAATACAAGCACATCTCAAAATAGAGTATCTCAATTTTGTCAGGGTTATGGCTTTTCGAAATGATTTTCTTATTGTAACTATTATCAGATCTTCTCCAAATTTAAAACATTTTAATATTTCCCATAATGATATCAGCGATAAGATTATTAAGATACTAACTTATACATGTCATGAAATAGAATATCTTGATCTTGGAGGATATGATTTCATTACTGAATTATTAATATGCAATATTATTCATTCTTGTTCTAAACTTCAGCATCTTAAACTCAGAGTTTGTGACATTTCTGACAAAATAATTGAAGAAATAGCCCATTCATGTCCTAATTTAAAATATCTTGATTTGGATAGTTGTGAAAATATTAGTGAAAAAGTAGTAAAATGACTTAATTCAAGTATATATATTAAAAATTATAGTTCATTATATGAACAATCTGATTCTAGATTGTCTGATACATAATAAACTATATTCACTATATCATGTTATAATGGGTCTCAAAGAAGTGATGTCATGTATTTTATTTCAAGATTGATAATACGCAATAATTATCTGAAAAAATTGATTATGATAGTGAATATTGAGTTAAATTGGTCAGACCTTCAGGTGCCTCTATGAGGCATGACATTAATATATGCATTAGCACTAGTTCCACTATCTGAAATCAGTAGTTTATGCTTTTACCATTACTATTTGGATTGAATTTTGATAAGCCTTCCAGCATTTGAGATGATAGGCTTTTGTATTAACATAATCTTCACTACCCCATTCACCCTCTACATTATATCTTATATTTTCTTTTTTATGATCTTTATTACACATAGGACAGGATACTGAACTATTAAAATCAAAATAATTGTGATTTTTATTGCTATATTTTGAAGATAAGTAAGGGAACTGCTCTAGCACTTTATTAATAACGGATTTTTGCTTCTCTTCTGGATCATCTGGTAAAATAAAAATTGGAGGTTGAGAATTATTGTCAGAGGTAGACACAAGGTGGTTAGATGTATTTACCTGTGATATACTTACTTTGGTATCTGGTAATTTTGAGAAAGCAGAGTTTCAAGTCTTTGTCTCAACTTGATTATTTTCTTGGGAATCTATTGCAGAGCAATGACCCTTTGGGTCTAAAGAAATTGATGAGTCGGAGACTCAAGACTTTATCTCTTCAGTATGTATACTTATCTCTGTTTCGGGTAAGTCATCTGAATCGTCCTGGTCATTGGTATATTCTATGTTAGGCTTTTTAGCGAAATGATCAATAATCGTTTGAATCTGAGAATTAGTAAATCTTGAAATAGCATCTGCACTAAAGATTTTGATATGCTGAATCTTATCTATCCTTATTTTTTCGAATAAATTATAAAACTTTCTAGCCTTTTGGGTTTGCTTTTGTAACATTTTACGCTTGGTATTTAGTTGTGCAATAATAAAATCATAAATTTGTCCTTTCGCCTTTTTCTCGCCAATATGATCAGATTTCATAAGATTTTTAACCTGGTTATCAAATTCTAATACCAACATGTAATTTCATCTTGATTAACTTTAATCGCTTGCTTTTCCACATCACAAGCTTTCTTGTACAAACTTGTTAAATTTAGTAGTACTTTACTTTTTGATGCAGAAAACAAAATAACATCATCTTTCCCACTACTTTCCTGAATTAAATTTTTGGTCACATGATTTTTGGCGAACATTTTTGGCGAATTGTTTGCTGAAATTTCGGTGGCTTGGCTCTGATCTTTAATAGATGTTGATATCTCCTGTATTAAACCTTGTTCTTTTTTCTGCTCGAGAGATATACTAGATTTAATATATACTTTAGCACTAACTCCGTTATTAGACATGTAAGTGTCCTCTTTTGGAGAATTTTCAGTAGGTAACTCACGTTGAAGCTTTTTCTCTCTATTCCTTTCAATTATTTCGATACGAACCTGTTCATTATGTCTTTCAACCAGAAAATTATCCATTTCCTTATCTTCTAATGATTTAGGCTTTACGCATATGGATAATTCTGTCGAAGATGAATTGGAAACTTGAGACAAAGTTTCTTCTTGATGTTCATCAGAATTTGAACCATTAACAGATATATCAGGTGTGGAAGTATTATCATGTCCTGAGTCTTGTTTAGGATTACCCTCAGAATTTGTTCCACAGGAAGTATCGATATTAACCGAAGATTGTTCTTTTGGGACGAATGTATTTACCTGTTTGGTTTCTCCGGTATCATCTGATTTAGATGTGAGAACAACCTCACTTCGAGAAATAATAAAGTTACTCTTTTCTTTAGATACGATAGTATCCCCATCCCGTGAGTCATTTTGTGATACCATTTGTTCCAATTTCATAACTCTGGATCTCAGCTCAATGTTTTCTTTTGCGGATCGTTCTAATTCCACAATTCTAACTTCAAGCTCATTTTTTTCTTTCGCGATCTGTTCCAATTCTGCGATCCTAGCCAAAAGCCTGATATTCTCTTCTTTTAACAAATCTAGTTCAGATTTTGTGTTTCCCATTGTTTTATACAATATATAGATATGTTCAAAAGTTTGAATAAATAAAAATAATGAGTGCGTGACCAAAAAGTTAAAAAAG